TATTTTTCGCTCCATAAGACACACTTTTTCCCTCCTAAAAAGTAAGGGCAAATGTGTGTGCGTCTTATGGAGCGAATGCAGGCGGGAGGCAGGCGGGAAAAGCCCCCAAGAGCTGCACACATGCTCCGTGTGGCTCTTGTGGGCTTTTCCCCAAGTAGGGAGAAGGGCAGCCCATCACTGAAGGGTTGTGTCAGTCCCTTCTCCCTCCTCGTAGAAAAGCCTGCAAGAGCTGCATGCTCTTTAAAGGGTGTGGGCTCTTGGGGGCTTTTGCGGGAGGTGGGGGAAGGGACAGAGGGCAGCCCCTCAGTCCTTTCCCCCACCTCCCGGAAAAGCGCCCAAGAGCCTCACTCCTTTTTCATGAGCTGTGTGGAGCGTGTGTGCGGCTCTTGGGGGCTTTTCCCCTGAGGAGGGAGAAGGGCAGCCCATCAGTGACGGCTCTGCTCAGCGCTCCCTTTAAAAATATTTTTTTCCTTGCATTCCCCCTCTAAAACCTAGGTGCGTCTTATGGTCAGGTGCGTCTTATATGGTGCTTCCCTTTTCTGGCCTGTATCTTCCAGCATTCATCTCCATTGCATGTCCATGAGTTCTAGCGTTATGAGAGAGGGAGAAATACTCTTCTGTATACATTGGTCAGAGCACGGTACTGATAACGCCAAGGTTGCAGGTTCGATCCCCATAAGGGACAGCTGCATAATCCTGCATTGCAGGGGGTTGGCCTAGATGCTCCTCAGGGTCCCTTCCAACTCTACAATTCTATGATTATGCTTTCATGAATAATGTTATTGAATTCTACTATGTGGGTTCTTACTTGCCTTTTCTCTAAACTAAAAAAAGTCCCAAACGCTGTAGCTTTTCTTCGCAGGAGAGTTGCCCAACCCCTTTTCTTGACCTTTTCCAACTCTACAATACAATTTTTTGAGGTCAGACAACCAGAACTGTGCACAGTTCTTCAGATGCAGCTGCACCATAGATCTGTATAATGGCATTATGATACTGGCAGTTTTATCTCCAGTTCTGCTCCTAAGATTCCTAGCATGGAATTTGCCTTTCTGGAAGGCTTCTTTGCCCGAGACCTCTGAGACCTGGCACCGGCCAGGACAGACAATGGCATGCAACATGGCCCAACGGACCGGCTCAGTTTAAGACAACTCGAGTGGAAGTTCATTGGGGACTTTCACGGCAGCTGTGAGCTTGGACCCGGACCTTTTGCAGCCCCTCAAGCATCAAACGTCAGCATCGGCTGTCATCTCCTCTCGAATCTCGGCGGAATAGCCGCATCCACTCCACGCAATGTCATCCTCTCACCAGCAGACATTTGAAAAGGGATGATCTTTAAAGGCGAGGAGCCTGAGAAATACGAGCTGTCCAGGGAACAAGCTTGCAAATGGCAGGGCTCAGAAGCAAAGCTGTTTATCCTCCCTTTAATTCTGTTGTGCCTCCTTTTGTGTTCATTTTTTCCGGTGCATGTAAATACCAGGTTGAGCTCTGCTTATCCAGAGGGGAAGCTTTTATTTGACAGCTTGCCATTAGAGCATCTGAATAAACTGACATTGCCGCCAGCCACAGAGAAACTACCCACCCTCATTACAATGTCAGAACTAGTAAAAAAAAAAAAAACCCACAAAAAACAAGCATTATTAGCAGCAATCAGGAGGCTGCTTTTCATACTGGATTGGAAGCGGCCAGCTGGTCAGGGAAGAGGAGAAGTGGTGAGGACCGTCTCACAAGGTGTTGGAAGCAGGGGTGCAAGCAGCTTACCTTAAACTGGGGAGCTTCCCATATTGGGCCTCTGGTTGGCCACTGTGAGAACAGAATACTGGACTAGATGGGCCATTGGCCTGACGCAGCAGGCTCTTCTTATCTTCTAGGCATGGACATCTAGGGGCATCTCTGACCAGCACTTAGTTAGGGGGGCTGGAGTTGAGCAAGCGAGTTCAGTTAGAAACTGTTAAGAAGAGAAGAAGAGTTTGGATTGGATATCTCGCTTTATCACTACCCAAAGGCGTCTCAAAGCAGCTAACATTCTCCTTTCCCTTCCTCCCCCACAACAAACACTCTGTGAGGTGAGTGAGGCTGAGAGACTTCAGAGAAGTGTGACTGGCCCAAGGTCACCCAGCAGCTGCATGTGGAGGAGTGGAGACGCAAACCCGGTTCCCCAGATTACGAGTCCACTGCTCTTATTTATTTTTTTTAAATGATATTTATTAAAGTTTCAATAAAAGATTAAACATAAAACATAAAAAAGAAATACACAATTCAAAAATACACAATACATAATCTAAAAGAAAAAAAAATAAAGAAACAAAAAAACAAAAGACAAAAAAGAAAGTAGAACAATTAAAAACAATATCACCTTTTCATCTCCATTTTTAAATTTACTTATTTTCTGGACCTCCTCGTACCTCCCTCTTTTGTATTCCAGTTCAAATTGTTTGTCCAGCAATTTCTTTCCCTCTTTTTAATCCCAATCTTAACTCTTAATATAATATAACATTAAAATTTTACCTTTTAAAAACCAAATTTCCATTTCCTTAAACTTTTTTAATCCTAATCCTTAATCTTAATCTATCCATAATTTTAAATCCTAAACAGCTGGAAGCCACTTATTTTTAATTCAACATCACTCTAACATTCTTTAATTTTGCAATGTTTCTGCAGATAGTCTTTGAATTTCTTCCAATCTTCCTCCACCGACTCTTCTCCCTGGTCACGGATTCTACCAGTCATTTCCGCCAGTTCCATATAGTCCATCAGTTTCATCTGCCATTCCTCCAGTGTGGGAAGCTCTTGTGTCTTCCAATACTTTGCAATGAGTAGTCTTGCTGCTGTTGTTGCATACATAAAGAAAGTTCACGAGTCCACTGCTCTTAACCACTACACCACACTGGCTCTTGTAATCGCCCTGAGACCTGTGGGTATAGGGTGGTATACAGATTTTCATCATCATCATCATCATCATCATCATCATCATCATCATATAATGCTGTGTATGTCAGCACAGACTCCCTGGAAAAGACCCTGATGTTGGGAAAGATGGAGGGCACAAGGAGAAGGGGACGACAGAGGACGAGATGGTTGGACAGTGTTCTCGAAGCAACCAGCATGAGTTTGACCAAACTGCGGGAGGCAGTGGAAGACAGGAGGGCCTGGTGTGCTCTGGTCCATGGGGTCACGAAGAGTCGGACATGACTAAACAACAACAACAATGGCAGCACAAAATGTCTGTGATGGACAGTCTAGATAGCTTAGTTAATGTAGTGCTGATTTGCAGGTTTCAGGTTTGACCCTTGTATGAGACAGCTCCATATTCCTGCATTGCAGGGGCTTGAAATATATGATCCTCAGGGTCTCTACTAAAACTACAATTCTATGATTCTATGACAGCGAAAGGGGGTTAGGAGGAGGTACCAGAACTTGTACTGGTACTGGAAACAGGTAGGTAGCCGTGTTGGTCTGCCATAGTCGAAACGAAATAAATTCCTTCCAGTAGAAGACCAGCTAATTTGTTCTTGGTATGAGCTTTCATGTGCATGCACACTTCTTCAGATACACTGAAACAGAAGTCCTGTTATTGGCACTACTTGGGACGCGGGTGGCCCTGTGGGTTAAACTACAGAGCCTAGGACTTGCCGATCAGAAGGTTGGCGGTCCGAATCCCAGCGACGGGGTGAGCTCCCATAACTCGGTCCATGCTCCTGCCAACTTAGCAGTTCGAAAGCACATCAAAGTGCAAGTAGATAAATAGGTACTGCTCCGGCGGGAAGGTAAACGGCGTTTCTGTGAGCTGCTCTGGTTCGCCAGAAGCAGCTTAGTCCTGCTGGCCACATGACCCGGGAGCTGTACGCCGGCTCCCTCGGCCAGTAAAGTGAGATGAGCGCCGCAACCCCAGAGTCGGCCACGACTGGACCTAATGGTCAGGGGTCCCTTTACCTTTAAGGTGCTACTGGAAGGAATTTATTTTGTTAGTACTGGTGAGCAGTATCACACAAAAAAGCCCTCTTTCCCCCTTTTTCTCTTTGTAGCTTCTGCAGACCCTCACAGGCTGCTGGGGTTCTCTTTGAGTTTCTGCTTTCCACCCAGGGGAGAGGAAATCCTCTGTCATCGTACAGCTCTTCCCCATCCTCCCAAGGCCCCGTCAGGGCAAAAATCACTCTAGATCCTGCCCCCCTGCAAAGCCATCAGCAAGTCTAATGTGAGCGCAGGAGCCCCTTTTCCCTGGGCAGAGAGAGCTTTCCTTTGACCTTCGCTGCCCCCGGCCACCTCTCCCCCCCTTCACTCTCTTCCCTCCGAGGTCCTTGAAAGGGTGTCCATTATCACAGCGGGGTGGGCCAAGAACGGCTGGGAACCTGCCGGGAGAGTGACTCTTCCAACCGAGAGGGTCATGAGTTCCAAAGACGCCGGCGGCCAGCAGCCGAGACCTCAGGCCTCTTTCCCAGGCAGCTCATGAACCCAGCGGATTTTCCGACTTGAAACTGGAGCTCTTCCCTGCTCCCTTTAAACCGAAAACAAAACAAAGTAGAAAAAGCCTTTCCCCCTCCCCTTGCCCTCCCTCCTAGGAGGTTAATGCTCCAGTCATTTCCTGTCTGTTACAAAGGGATGTGCCTGGATTATATAAACCTGAATTCCAATTAACTCTCAATTTAGAGGCTTTGTGTGTGGGTTGCACTGGGGGGATGGAGGTGCCCCAAGAGTGGGGAGAGCTGAAGTTTTATATCTAGACAGACATAAATGGAGCATGGGGGGAAGCTCTCCATTGTGCTCTCTCTCTCACACACCCAAACTTGCTGCCCAGACTGTCTCACAAGGTGCAAAAGCTAATTTCCCATTGAAAGATAAATCAAGAACTATCCCTTCACACAAGACAAACAGCCCGTGGGACTCATTGCCACTGGGTGTCATGATAGCAACTGAGGCAAGTTACTTTTAAAATGAAGGACGGAAGGTTAGAATAAGAGAATCTTAGAGTGGTGAAGGTGGAAGGGACCCCAAGGGCCATTCAGCTGGATAGCTCAGCTGGTTAGAGCACGGTGCTGACGACACCAAGGTCGCAGGTTCGATCCTCTATGGGACAGTTGTATATTCCTGTATTGTGGGGGGTTGCACTATATGAGCCTCAGGGCTCCTTCCAGCCCAACAGTTCTAGCATTCATTCATTCATTCAACATTCTGCAAAGGTAAAAGGTAAAGGACCCCTGAACAGTTAAGTCCAATCAAAGGCGACTATGGGGTTGCGGCACTCATCTCACTTTTCAGGCTGAGGGAGCCGGTGTTTGTCCACAGACAGCTTTCTGGGTCATATTGCCAGAATGACTAAACCGCTTCTGGTGCATCAGAACATCGTGACGGAAACCAGAGTGCACGGAAACGCCATTTACCTTCCCACCGGAGTGGTACCTATTTATCTACTTGCACTTTGGTGTGCTTTCAAACTTCTAGGTTGACAGAAGCTGGGACAGAGCAACGGGAGCTCACCCCGTCATGGGGATTCAAACCGCCAACCTTCTGATCGGCAAGCCCAAGAGGCTCAGTGGTTTAGACCACGGTGCCACCCACGTCCTTTCAGCCCCCTGCAATGCAGGAACCATCGCTCAAGAATCCCTGACAGATGGCCTTCCAACCTCTGCTTCAAAATCTCCAATGAAAAAGGAGTCCTCCACCTTTTGAGGCAGCCTGTTCTGCCTTCGAAAGCTGCCAGAACATTATTCCTAATGTTTAGTTGGAATCTCCTTTCTTGTCATTTGAACACACTGGTTTGGGTTCCACCCTCTGGGACAGCAGAAAACAAGATTTCTCTATCTTCTACATGGCAACCCGTCAGATATTTGAAGAGGGCCATCACATCACCTATCAGTCTTCCCTTCTCCAGTCTAAACAGACCCAACCACAAATCCCAAGAGAGGAGGACGGTGTTACACTCAGATCCTGCTTGTGAACTTCCCAGAGGTATCTGATTTAGGGTTACCAGATGTCCCCAGATTTGCAAATCTGTCCCTAGGAAATGTGGCAGCGGCAGCCTCAGCAGCCCGGAGCCAGCCTGGTAATGCAGTTGGCTCTGGTTGGCTTCAGGAGCTGCTCACTGCCATGGCACCCACCATTTTTCCTCACTGGAAGTCCCCATATGATGGGTCTTGTGTGCTGTACCAGGGAAGTCCTGCCCCCTTCCCTCTTTGTTTTGACTGGTCAGGGGAAACTTGGGAGTTGCGGCCAGCCGGCCGTTGCCCAATTTTAAAAAAATTCTGCGCATTTATGTTGCACAGGGTGTGAAAGAAGGGCTTTGCACCTTTATACAATATGCATGTGTGCTTGGGCCCAGGGTCTTTTGCCTCACTACCCCCACTACTGACTCCCTGTTGCTACTCAGCGAAAGAAAGAAAGAAAGAAAGAAAGAAAGAAAGAAAGAAAGAAAGAAAGAAAGAAAGAAAGAAATGTGTCCTCGGATTCATTGAAAAAATTCTGGTAACCATAATCTGGTTGGCCACTGTGAGATCAGGATAATGGACTAGATGGGTCACCTTGGGCCTGATCCAGCCTCAGCACTCTTCTGTTGTCCTTACGATGGTGAAGGCAATGAGCTGTGCAGCAAAAACAAGCTTGCTCCTTCTTCCACATGACAGTCCCTCTGATACTTGAAGCTGACCATCACCTCACCTCTCAGACTTCTCTTCTGTAGCTATACTTCCCCAAATCCCTCCACCATTGGCTTCCAGAGGTTGCTCATTTGATGCTCAGCAAAAACCTGTGAAAAGGTTAAAATGACTATAATCAAGAACAGGTTAAAAAGCTTAATGAAAAGGGCTTTCTGTGGTGCACCACCAGGACATCAGGGAAACTTCTCTGGGAAGGACATTCTGCAGCTGGGGTGCCACCACTGAAAAGGCACTTTCTGCCACTGTTCACCTGGGAGAAGCATCCGGACCCTCAAAGCCAAGATCTAGATTGGCTCATAGGGATATATCCTGAGCACTCTGAACTAGGCTCAGAAATGGACTGGGATCCCATTGAGTTGACAAGGCAGTGGCATGATACACTTGACCCTAGTTAGAAATCTTACAATTGCTTTCCATGCTAACTGAAGTTTCTGGAGCATTTTCAAAGGCCACCCTGCATATGACATGTCATAATAGCCAAACAGGAGATTGCTAGAGCTCGGAAAATAGAAGCCAGGCTATCCCAGTCCAGGTAGGGTCATGGCTGGGGCATCAGCCTAAGCCCAAAAGGAAGTAGACAGAAAGCACATTTTACACATTGGACTTAAACTGGACGTTTTGAGTAAGGGCGGGGAAGAAATTCATTTCGAGTAGAACTTTAATGAAAACCTGCCTGATTTACACTTTCTGAAACAGTGCATGAGCCTGGATACAACTGTCCTTTGAAATTCACACACTACCAGATGGGGGGAAGGGATACAGTTCTCCAGCCAAACCATGCATACGGCAAAATGGAGAAGTGTGCATTTATTGGTGAAAAATAACATGTGCAATGCCCTTACTGGGAGAAATTTGCAGTAAAATGCTGGTGAATTTTCATTAACAACAACAACAACAATTAAAGAACCCAAACAGAGGCAGGCATGTGAAGAAATGAAAAACTGAAATGGACAGATTTATCAGTGTCTAGTTTTGAGTCATTATCTCCCCTGCCCTAGGGGATTCTGGGAGCTATAAGGATTCTGCACAAATAGGAAAGCTGTGACACTTAAACTGGTACAAATGTCTTTTTAGCACAAGAATGTTGCATGGGGAGTTTATTAAGCACATTTATTGCCTGCCCTTCACGAAATGTCCCAAGGTGGGTTATAGCATAATAAAAACATAGAATGCAATATATAAATAACAGTTAAAACAACAGTTTAGCAATAAAATCATTTTCATTAAATGAACAACTATTACACTCTTTCAAAAGCCTGGGTAAAGAGATACATTACCTTTGCATGTTTTCTGAAAACTCCAAAATTTAGGACTAGGTGCACATCAGGAGTCAGGGAGTTCTAAAATTTGGGGGACATCTAACTTTGCTGCTATGTTGGGAGTACTGAGCCCTGGGTGCAATTCTTGCTTGTGGGATTGTGCTCTTTTCTTCCACTGCTGAACCGATGGAGGGAACAAGGGAAAAGAAAAGCCCTGGAATCAGAGCCAAAATGCTGCCATCGTTTATTTCTACGCCTCATTTCCATGGTTAAAACCATGCTCAAGGCAGCTTACGACATGAAAAGATTTACATAATTATAAAGATACGGCAAAAGTAGCCATAAGCAATAAATTAAAACATATCAAAATGCATACGACAAAATCCTCACATAAGACCTAAGAATAAAGATACGAAAGATGAATATCAATAACAGCAAAATTATCACAGCCAAAATTAAATATTGACCACAGCAAAAGCCCTAAACAATACTCTACCCCATGTCTTGACATCTGACAGAAGCTCCCAGGCAACAGGGCAGCAAGGAAGGCAAGATTTCAGAACCTTGGAGAGCTCCAAATGAGCAACCTGTTTCCAGAAGAGCCAGAGGTTGACTGAGGTCCAATCCCTCCCTCAGTCCACACCACTCCCTCCTGCCTGGGGTGTAGGGCTTCTGAACGGGGCAATCCACTGGCATGGAGGTGAGTAGTTCGAAGTCTCTTTGTGGCTTCTCACCTGGAAGTCTCCCTCCAGTGTTGGGCATGTGCCATGGAGAGGGAGCTGCTCTCTTCTAAGAGGAACAGGGTTCAGAAGGTCCTGGCTTTTGGGCCCACGAGCTCAGAGATGTCAGTCCCAGGTCCTGTGTCTGGAACAATGGTCATGTCTGTGGTGATCACACAGGGTCCCCGGACGTTTAATGGTCTATTGATCCCTGTGCCACCACTGTGCTCACTTCCCCACTGCCACCAACCAGTTACTCTCTGGTAAAACACTGAGTCCAGTCAGTTGTTAAAAGTGAACCAAAAAAACCAGGTTTATCTTACAAACAATAACAAGTTTATGGTTTCTCAGATCATATTCCTGTCAGTATCTTAACTTTAGTTTCTTTACTGGCCTATACCTTCCTAATACCTTCTGACTGATTATCTCAACTGACTCCTCTTAACAAATTTTCTCCCTCTCTCACACCAGACTAGCCCAACCCACAGACTTATCTTCTCTGTCTCTTCTAACTCCAGACTGTCTTCTCAACAACTCTAACTCTAACTCTAACTCCCTCAAAAAACCTCTGTGCTTAATCATCATCATCATCATCATCATCATCATCTTTATTTATACCCCGCCCTCCCCAGCCAAGGCCGGGCTCAGGGCAGCTAACAAGCAATAATAAAAACAAGTTGAATGAATACAACTTAAAAACAAGATTAAAATACAACATTAAAATATTAAAATGCAGCCTCATCACAGGAGGAGAAAGGAAAAAGAAAAAAGAAAGAGGGGGAGGGAATCAAATCGGCTCCAAGCCAAAGGCCAGGTGGAACAACTCTGTCTTACAGGCCCTGCGGAAAGAAATCAGATCCTGCAGGGCCCTGGTCTCATGAGACAGAGCGTTCCACCAGGCCAGAGCCAGTGTTGAAAAGCCCTGGCTCTGTTTGAGGCTAATCTAACTTCCTTAGGGCCCGGGACCACTAGGGTGTTGCTATTTATGGACCTTGAGGCACTCTGTGGGGCATACCAGGAGAGGCGGTCCCATAGGTACGAGGGTCCTAGGCCGTGAAGGACTTGAAAGGTCAAAACCAGACCTTAAACCTGACCCTGTATTCCACCGGGAGCCAGTGCAGCTTGAAAAGCACTGGGTGAATATGCTCCCATGCAGAGACCCCTCGCTGCAGCATTCTGCACCTGCTGGAGTTTCTGGGACAGATTCAAGGGCAGCCCTGCATAGAGCGAATTACAGTAGTCAAGCCTGGAGGTGACCGTCGCATGGATTATTTATACACAGTTAACTCTGCTCCCTGGGTTCCCATTGGTAGTCATTTTAGAATTAGTTAACCCTTTCCCTATGAACCCAGTATGATGTCACACACATAGGGCAAACACCACAATGTCCTTCAGGCATGAGATCTTCCTGCCCTGCATCCAGGTCCTGACTCTTGCTCAAGGATGAGTCATGACAATAGCTTTCTCTCTCTTAAGCCAACTGGGCCATCCCAGGGGGAAAGCACAGTTGGTAGAGCATCTGCTTTGCATGCAGGAGGTCTCAGGTTCAGTCCCGACTATCTCCAGAAAGGAAGAGAGAGACTCTACTCTGGAGATCCTCTGCCAGTCGGAGTAGACAGTACTGAGCTAGATGGATCAATGGTCTGGCTCAGTACAAGGCGGCTTCCTCTGTTCCCAGGGCTGTCTGATCTTGTGTCTCAATACCTGAGAAAGTTTGTGTTCTCTACTTTGAGAAGCCCTTTCTCCACCAACTTTTGGAGAAGTCTTCTGGAGCCTACAAGTGCTCCTCTTACTCGCTGGCGCCTGCCTCTCCAGGGTCACCATGACCTAGATCTCCCCTCTTTCCTCCCCCCTCCCCACAACATCACATCACGACTTTGTGTGATTTATCCCTTCATATTATTTCAGGAACATTTCCTTCTGTAAGCTCTGACGCTGATTAATACCACTTAGCACTTTCCATCTCCAAAGCACTTTGCAGGCATTTGCTAATTAATCTACACAACTTTCCCACTCCTCACCCCAAAGGTAGGAAAGGCTAAATTTCCAGGCCTGCTTTTGTTGGCACTAACCTCTTAACTCAAGGAAACAGAACGTCCCTAATATGAGTCATGGTTTCTAAACATCTTGTGGAACAAGTGGATTCTCCATTTAAAGTTCACAGAGTGTGCAGAGGGAAGTTTTTGAATGTTTCATGTTTTACTCTGCTTGATGTTTTAATTTGTTGGAAGCCACCTAGAGTGGCTGGGGCAACCCAGTCAGATGGGCAGCAATAATAATAATAATAATAATAATAATAATAATAATACAAGCCTGGGACTAAGTAATACACCTTGACACCTGCGCTGGCTTCCTGGCAACTTCTGTGGACAATTTAAAGGCCTGGTCTTCATCAATAGCAAAGATCAAGGGCCACATTACCCGGGTGGAAAGCTGTCAAGGGCAGTGTTCCAGTAATGGATGAGGCCTGAGCAAGACATGTGTGGCACTAGACTCACACACCCTCTTAGTCGTCTTCTTCTTCTTTGGGAATCACTCGTAGCTGAGTAAGATCATCTTCCATAAACACGGTTTTAACAATGAGTCAGTAAGTGATTGTGGAGGCCAATTCTGGATCCACACGTCCTTCCACAGTGGGGACATTGGTTTCCGGGCGGGAGTTGATCACTGTGTGGATTTGCCAAGCATACCTTCCTCTTAGCACATTTCTCCCTTGCGTTCTGAGTTCGAGCGTCTTCAAAGCCCACAACACCTTTGGTAAAGGCTGTTCTCCAATTGAAGCACTCGCAGGCCAGTGTTTCCCAGTTGTTGGTGTTTATACTACATTTTTTTAGATTTGCCTTGAGGCAGTCTTTAAACCTCTTTTGTTGACCACCAGCATCACGCTTTCCATTCTTAAGTTCGGACGCAGACCTGACATTGAAGACCGGTCTTGGAGCTAAATTTTGAAGAGCATTGACTTAGCCCTTCCATGGCTGCATTTGTCATCAATGAGCCCACAATGAGAGTATATATATTTGTAATCAAACATGGCTACCTTGCTAAGCTATTCGGTTCTTTATGCTTAAGCCAATAAATTGTTTCTATAGCTACATGTAAGTATATAATTATGAAGCTTTGTATTAATTTTGTACTTAATTGTATTTAATTGAACATTTAGAAATGTATTATGATGATTCTAATGAGATTTTGTTTGGATTATTATTAGTTAGCACTAATAGACACAGTAATGGCTTGAGACTACTGAGGAAGCCCAGAAAACTGTGTCCAGGGAGTGGTGACTATCTATTTTTTTAAAAAAATGATATTTATTAAAATTTCAGAGAATACAAGAATTACATAAAAACAAAAAGTAAAAATACAAGAAAATACAAAGTACAGAAAAAAGAATACATGAAAAATAAAAAGGAACATACAAAATAAAAACAATTAAAAACACATTAATTTTCCCTAGCATATCCTCCTTACACTTATTTCCCCGGACCTCCTCGTACCTCCCTTCTTTGTATTCCAGTTCAATTTGTTAGTTCAGCAAATCCTTACCATTAAGCTTTTACCCATTTGTGAACCTTTTTTTTCATATCTCTTAAAGCATTACAGCTGGAAACCACTTAGTTTCTATCCAACATCCTTCTAAAATTCATTAATTTTACAATATTTCTGTAAATAGTCTTTAAATTTCTTCCAGTCCTCTTTCACCGACTCTTCTCCCTGGTCTCGGATTCTGCCAGTCATTTCTGCCAATTCCATATAGTCAATCACCTTCATCTGCCATTCTTCCAGAGTGGGTAGATCTTGTGTCTTCCAATACTTTGCAATGAGTATTCTTGCTGCTGTTGTAGCATACAAAAAAAAATTCTGTCCTTCTTTGGCACCAATTGGCCGACAATGCCCATTTGGCCTCCATATTGAGCCTTTTCAGAGCTCTTGCTTCCATTGGTGACAGCCACCTTGGGGTTTTATTTTCCAATAAATCTTTATATCTTATCCAGACATTAAACAATGCTTTCCTAACAATATGATTTTTGAATGCTTTGTGTGCTTTGACCTTATCATACCATAAATATGCATGCCATCCAAATACATTGTTAAAACCTTCTAAATCCAAAATGTCTGTGTTTTCAAGAAGTAGCCATTCTTTCAACCAGCAAAAGGCTGCTGATTCATAGTAAAGTTTAAGGTCTGGCAGGGCAAATCCACCCCTTTCCTTTGCATCTGTTAGTATCTTAAATTTTATTCTGGGCTTCTTACCCTGCCAGACAAATCTAGAAATATCTCTCTGCCACTTCTTAAAACAGTCCATCTTGTCCACAATTTGCAATGTCTGAAATAAAAACAACATTCTTGGCAATACATTCATTTTTATCACAGCAATGCGGCCCAACAATGAAAGTTTCAAATTTGACCAAATTTCTAAGTCTTTTTTCACTTCCATCCAACATTTTTCATAATTATCTTTAAATAAGTTCCCATTTTTGGCTGTCATATTAATCCCCAAGTATTTCACTTTCTTTACCACAGTCAATCCTGTCTCATTCTGAAACCTATCTCTTTCAATCGGTGTTAAATTTTTCTCTAAAACCTTAGTTTTTAACTTGTTCAATTTAAAACCTGCCACTTGACCAAATTCTTGAATTAATTCTAGAACCCTTTTAGTACTAGATTCTGGCTCCTGTAACATCAATACTAAGTCATCTGCAAATGCTCTCAGTTTGTACTGTTTGGCTCCGACCTGTGGTGACTATCAGCCAACCCCAATAAATTGGTCCTGTCGGGGGCAAAACAGCAGCTCTTCAACTTTATGGGCTGCTAGTGTGAAACGGGGATAGACTGCTGGCACCCTGTCTTCCATCTGCCCTTCACAGCTACCGGGAACATCGTTGAACTTACCTATTCTTCTTGAACTTACCTAAAAAACAAGAAAAAACAAAAACTGAGTCAAAAATTTGTAAGAACTTAGTAAAATCTGACACTGCAAGTTCACTTTCTTTTAGATAGCTTATAAGCATAGCTGTCAACACTTCCCTTTTTTAAAGGGAAATTCCCTTATTCTGAATAGGATAATAATAATAATAATAATAATAATAATAATAATAATAATAATAATTTATTTATACCCCGCCCATCTGGCTGGGTTTCCCCAGCCACTCTGGGTGGCTTCCAACAGAACACTAAAATACAACAACCTATTAAACATTAAAAGCTTCCCTAAACAGGGCTGCCTTCAGACGTCTTCTAAAAGTTTGGTAGTTATTTTTCTCTTTGACATCTGGTGGGAGGGCGTTCCACAGGGCAGGTGCCACCACCAAGAAGGCCCTCTGTCTGGTTCCTCTCAAGAAAAGGGGAAAGTTGACAGCTATGCTTATAAGTTTTCATGGCACTTTGTAAGCAGTTGTCTTATTCTCACAAATCTGATAAATGGTAAAAAATTGTTTTTGAACAAGAATATTAATTGTGTGAATAATTGTCGCCTATGTGCTGTACGGGTTGCACAATCAAATTGGGGCAAGCATGGTGCCCAGCTGAGGTTCTGGTGATATCTGAAGCCAATTACATGGGAAACGGTTTTCACCTAGGACTTCTTCATGGGTCTTCCAACAGAAGGGGGGCACTCTATATGTGCTCAGAGGCAGCCTTCCCTTCTTTATTACTATTTTGCTCACTGGAGAGCTGAACCCAAGCATTCAAGTGATTCTGGGATGCAGCTGAGCCCTGGCTCAGAATAAGCCCCATCTCTCCCCGCCTGAGTGGTGCTCTCAGCTTCCAGCCACCCTGCTTTGTTCGCCCAGGAAATGAAATCCATTTTGCAATGAATTGGTGTGTGTTCTTTTTTTCTTTCTCTCTCTCTTTGCTGAAGTGCTAGCACTTGTGCTAAACTACCAATTTTTCATAATAATGCAGGAAACATTCCCTCACAAAGATCAGAGGCTTGGGAGAGAATTAAGGTGATCCAAAGAAGATTAAGTGGCTTTCAGTGTAGTTGTTTATGTCAGATTTTTTAAAGTAATGTGGATGGATAGAAGGGGAAAAGCCTGAGATTGTGGAACAAACACAATTACTCACAGCAGTGCATACAGCACAGCCAAGAGGGTGGGCTTATCAAGGGGCTATTTTGAGAGCTCCTGCTCCTTGAGATTGCTATGGAAAATGCATCCGCCCCAGACTTTAGTTGGTCGTGCACAGAGCTTGCTGGAGGAATTCAGTCTCACTTCCAATCTTGTGTGAAAAACCCAGCTGCCAAATCTAATTCTGCAAGGTTCCACTTGCACCATAATTGATTTAGTATGATCTGTTCTTCAGTCTAGGTATAAACACTCCGGTTACTTTTCGCACATATGGGTTGCACTCGCAGTCACAATGCATCACAGGCTTTGACGTTTAAGGCTGCCCAAACAATTGTTTCTGCACATGGAGATGGTCTGGAATCCCTGGGAGATTGCAAGAGTTGCAAACTGCATGCTGCCAAAACGGTTGGAACATCGTACAGCGATGCAGAGTTCACGGCAATCGTCGTGGGTAATCGTTCAGCCCACTGAGGTCCAGCTCCGAAGGCCTTCTGGCGGTTCCCTCACTGCAGGAAGCGAGGTTACAGGAAAGCAGGTGGAGGGCCTTCTTGGTAGTGGCGCCCTGTCTGTGGAACGCTCTCCCATCAAATGTCAAGGAAAACAACAATTATCTGACTTTTAGAAGACATCTGAAGGCAGCCCTGTTTAGGGAAGTTTTGAATGAGGTTTTAATGTATTTTTAATCTTTTGTTGGAAGCCGCCCAGAATGGCTGGGGAAACCCATCCAGATGGGCAGGGTATAAATATATTATTATTATTATTATTATTATTATTATTATTATTATTATTAACAATGCATAGTGCTCATCCCAATGCATGCAAGGTTTTGTAAACCACTTAGAGTTTGGGGGTCTCTATTTCTGCACGGACATTATTAGCACAACATTGGAAAGAAGAGGTTGTCCCAAGTAAAGAAGATTGGCTGACCACTGGTCCTGTGTAATAATTACATATATAATAAATGTACCAACCAAGCACATACATAGATGTGTGGACCACATGTCTGGAGCAGCACAGGAGGACCACCCTGAAACCATTTTGACTCCCAAACTGACCAAATGTTTTCTTTGCAAGGAGGGAGGGGGTGAGGGAACTTTCCCATTGTCTCAGGAACTGGGTAATCACCATCTCAAAGGAATGGCCAGACTACCAGGAAAGGCAATCAGATAAGGCATTATCAGATAACCAGGCAGGCAGGAAAAACAACAACATTCAAATTTCTGTTGTAGACCGCTTTTTCTGTGATGTAGGTATGATGTTTGTGGGGGGTGGTCTTGAGCTCCAGGGCAGGGAATTTAAAATGTCTATATAAGGACAGGCACACCTTTGTTTGGGGTCCTCTTCCTTTCCTGCGTGTGAGTGGAGCACCCTGTTGCAACAGATCAATAAAGATCAGGCTTACGAGCTGCTTTGCTTCTCAATATTCTCTGGTTGGCCTCTGTTATTTTCTCCTACCAATAGGGAACCTACTTAAGGACTCTATAGGGGCTCTTGGATACCCCATAATGGAAAAGAGGGACAGATTTTGTTTAAAACACCTGCTAGCTAGGGATCATGGGAGTTGTGGAGGGCTGAGGCTGAGGAAGCCTGGTCTAAATCAAAGTGGCTCGGTTCACCCCCAGCATATGTGTCTGCCTCTTTATTTGCCTATTGGGGTGCCATAGGTCTAGACATACATTTTGTGCCCTACCAAATTATTGCTTTCAGTCCAGAGGGAGGGAGCTCAATAGCACTTGCCGGGGGCATGAGAGGCAGACGTTGCAGCTGCCCATCGGAGATGGATGGGCATGTGTTATTCTGCGGCAAAGATGGAGCTCTGCAGCTCACGGATGTTTTGCAGAACAGCCTCGAACGGGGGTGCAACAGATCCTTCAAATTAAGAAGCCACATCTGAGGTTTCCCTCATTGCATGCTGCATCAATCATATTCACAAGTTTTTTCGCAAAACGCACACACAAGAATAGCAGCGAAAAACCAAGCTAGCCACAAAAATGCACCCTTCTTTGAACAAGCAGCCAGAGGCTGGAGGCAGCCCCACACCTTTCAAGCCCCCTCCATTTCTCTCCCCAGTCTCCTTCGGGCTCTGCTTTGCCTCACCTCCCCACCCCCAAAAAAACCTCCTGGCAAGGCTGCCAACTTTTCAACTGGCCTCCGTTGCTGTGTTGTAAGCTGCAGCTTTTTCCCTGGAGGCACAGCTGGGTAATCAACACTTAGCCCCATGCTGCAAAAAGTTTAACCTGTTAGTCCCTGCCTGTGAAGGCAAATTGAAAAGTTGGCGAGTTCCACTATATCCTTTGGTAGGGGTGGGGTGGGGGAAAATATACGCTTTCTTTCAGTGGCCCAGCAGAACTAAATTCACAAGTACAGTGGTACCTCGCGTTAAGAACTTAATTCGTTCTGGAGGTTCGTTCTTAACCTGAAACTGTTCTTAACCTGAGGTACTACTTTAGCTAATGGGGCCTCTCACTGCCGCCGTATGATTTCTGTTCTCATCCTGAAGCAAAGTTCTTAACCCGAGGTACTATTTCTGGGTTAGCGGAGTCTGTAACCTGAAGTGTCTGTAACCCGAGATACCACTGTATGTGAACAGTAAAAGTGAGTGCAAGTGTCTGCAGTGAGGAGCTACATTGAGTCAGAATTCAAGGGGGGCAGGCAAAAAGGCATTCAAAGGCAACCAGTATATCAAGAGAAAGAACAAAAATCAACAACAGATCGCCATTACTGCAAAGGTCCCAGCCGAATTGCAAAAGCATCTGGACACAGTCAAGCACCGGTTCAGACCACAGGAAATGGAAGGGTTAACAAGGTGCCCCCTTCCTGGCTTCTGTTTCAGAATCATCTTAACCAGGGAAGTGTTGGATATCACAATTACGGTGGTACCTCAGGTTAAGAACTTAATTCATTCTGGAGGTCCGTTCTTAACCTGAAACTGTTCTTAACCTGAAGCACCACTTTAGCTAATGGGGCCTCCCGCTGCTGCCGCGCTGCCACCGCGCGATTTCTGTTCTCATCCTGAAGCAAAGTTCTTAACCCGAGGTAATATTTCTGGGTTAGCGGAGTCTGTAACCTGAAGCGTATGTAACCTGAAGCGCCTGTAACCCGAGGTACCACTGTATAAGTTGATGCACCTTTACTCCAGATTTCTGCCCCCCTGCCCCCAGCTGGACCCAGTTGCTGCTCCCCTGGGTCTTTGATTCCAATGTTTTCAAGTCTTGGCTCAGTTGGCTCTGATCCTGTCAACAACTCATTCCTCCAGCTGTGATTCCTGCAGTGCAGGGGGTTAAGAACCTAGGACATGGGGAGGCAACCTAAGGCCCGGGGTCCAGATCCAGCCCATTCACCTTCTAAATCCAGCCACGGAGGGTCCAGGAATCAGCGTGTTTTTACATGAGTAGAATGTGTGCTTTTATTTAAAATGCATCTCTGGATTATTTGTGGGGCATAGGAATGTGTTCATTATTATTTTTTCAAAATATAGTCCAGCCCCACGCAAGGTGTGAGGGACAGTGGACTGGCCTCCTGCTGAAAAAAATTGCTGACCCCTGACCTAGGAAGAGCCTGTTGGATCAGGCCAATGCCTCATCTAGTCCAGCCTCCTGTTATCACAGTGACCAAGCAGATTCTTCGATGGGAAACCCACAAGCAGGATTCAAATACAAGAGCTCTTTCCTCTGGGTTTCCAGCAATGGGGATTCAGAAGCATTTCTGCCTTCGACTGTGAAGGCAGAGCATAGCCATCATTGCTGGGAGCCCTCAATAGTCCCCTCCTCCATGAATTTGTCTCATTCCCTTTCAAAGCCATGCAGGTTGGTGGCCACCAGTGCCTCCTGGCAGCATCTTAAAATGCAGAGACATCACCTTGCCAACAAAGGTCCATATAGTTAAAGCTCTGGTTTTCCCAGTAGTGATGTATGGAAGTGAGAGCTGGACCATAAAGGAGGCTGATCGCCGAAGAATGGATGCTTTTGAATTCTGGTGCTGGAGGAGACTCTTGAGAGTCCCATGGACTGCAAGAAGATCAAACCTATCCATTGTGAAGGAAATCAGCCCTGAGTGCTCACTGGAAGGACAGATCCTGAAGCCGAGGCTCCAAGACTTTGGCCACCTCAGGATAAGAGAAGACTCCCTGGAAAAGACCCTGATACTGGGAAAGATGGAGGGCACAAGGAGAAGGGGATGACAGAGGACGAGATGGTGGGACAGTGTTCTCGAAGCTACGAACATGAGTTTGACCAAACTGCGGGAGGCAGTGGAAGATAGGAGTGCCTGGCGTGTGCTCTGGTCCAGGGGGTCACGAAGAGTCGGACATGACTAAATGACTAAACAACAACAAGTGCCTCCTGGGGGAACGAGTTCCATAGCTGGATTAAATGGTTCTTTGGGTCTCTTCCAACTCTGCAATTGAAACGCCTACATTGGTTCCCAGTACATTTCTGGGCACAATTCAAAGTGTTGGTGCTAACCTTAAAAGCCCTAAATGGCCCAGTGTACCTGAAGAAGCATCTCCATCCCCATTGTTCAGCCTAGACACTGGGGTCCTCCTCTGATGGTCTTCTGGTGGTTCCCTGCCTGCTAGATGTGAAGCTACAGTGAACCAGGCAGAGGACCTTCTTGGTAGCGGCGCCCGCCCTTTGGAACACCCTCCCATCAGATTTCAAGGAGATAAAGAACTACACAACTTTTAGAAGACATCTAAAGACAGCCCTGTATAGGGAAGCTTTTAATGTGTAATGTTTTATTATGTTTTTATATATGTTAGAAGCTACCCAGAGTGACTGAGGCAACTCAGTCAGATGGGCGACATACAAATAAATTATTATTATTATTATTATTATTATTATTATTATTATTATCCTTGACATCTGCTTAAAAACCTCTAAGAAAGGAGGATCCATCACCTTCCAATGTTGTTTTCACTGCCAAACAACTCTTGCCACCAGAAAATTCTTCCTAACATTTAGTTTGAATCTCCTTCTTGTAATTTGACTCCACTGGTTTGGGTCCTTCAGTGGCAGACCTTGAGATCTCAAATTTCAGCAGTGCCTCCTCCAACATCAAAATCCAGCACCCCCTGCTCCTCACGCCCCATTCTCAATAATAGTTGTGTTGCCCTCTGCAGTGCCCTCTAAGGCTCTGTACCCAGGGTGACCAAACCGATCGTGCTCCCCTAAATCCGCCTCTGGATTCTGCCCTCTGGAGCAGCAGAAAACAAGTTTGCTCCTCCTTCTGTGTGACAGCCCTTTAGGCATTTGAAGATAACTCTCATGCCACCTCTCAGTCTTCTCTTCTTCATCCCAAACTCCCTCAGCTGAGATGGCTCAGCTGGTAGAGCATGAGACTCTTAATCTCAGATTCGTGGGTTTGAGCCCCACATTGGGCAAAAGATTCCTGCATTGCTGGGGGTTGGACTTGTTGACCCTCGTGGTCCCTTCCAACTCTATGTTTTTGCAATTCTGTGAATTGTCCCACCTAGGGCTTGGTTTCCCGGCCCTCAGTGATCTTGGCTGCCCTCCTCTGCCCATTTATGAGCGACTTAAAGACCCATGATTAATTAGCCCTACCAAAGTTTCCTCCCCAGCAATCCATCTTCCATGCATGGAACATTCTTGGCTAGCCTTGACTTTTCAGAAGCTTCGCCCACCCTCCCGGAGCCCCATCATAGATCTCATCAACCTTATCTTGCATGCAACTCTGTGCAAGTTGTTGTTGTTATTAAAAAAAGACACAGCAAAAATAAAGCAGGGAGAAATGGGGAAACTGTTATTATTTCATTTTGATAAAAATGGCCTAGCTTTGTGCAACCTCTCCCTCCAGGCCTTTTCATCAGCACAGAAGTTCAACGGTGGGTTTTTAAAAATCACTCGTCTGCACCTTGCAGAAGGCTCCTGGGAGAGGAAGACAAGCGATTAGGAAGCAGGGATTCTGACATCACACGATGTGATTGGCTCCTCCCCTCCCTCCCCCCACCCCCACCGGAGTTTTATTTCCAAAAAGCCATTTGCATGGAAAGTAGAGCATTCTTTCTGAAGATTTGCATGGGTCCCTGCTGCTTATTCCCCATCTGGAATCTTAATCCCCTTGCTTCTGATATCGCGGCAGGTTGCTGTGGCAATGAGAGCGCCACAACGCATTGTGTGTGTATGTGTTCTACAGGGAACTGAGGGAGGGAGTGGCTCCAGAAGACGAATGGGAACTGTAGGGCAGAGGAACTGGTCAGACAAAATCCCAGCACTTCCCCCATCACTCAGTGGAGCTTGGGGAACCATCCAGCAACTCATAAGAAGTGGCACTAAGTACGTAGTGAACAGTAAGGCTGCACATTGCCAGGTATTCCCAAATCCCTTGATTGCCTCATAGTGCTGATCTAGGGATAGGCATTTGTCAGAGGGAAAGTGTGTCAGTTTAAACAGTGTCTCTAACCAAGCAATGTCCCCTCTGTTGAGATTTCCATTCCACCTTAAGGAGCAGACGTGTGGAACATTCTAGCACAGCTTGCTGGGAACTTCCGTTGTGTATAGCTTTTGCTTTTCCCTGTCTCTCTGAGAAGATGAAGAGAGTGACAACATGTTTCTTTGTCCTGATTTATGATTAATAAATCTATAGTTGTAGTATGCTTCCACAAGCCTCACGCCTATTCTGTGCACACACATTGCCCCTAAAGGCCCTTAAATGGGTATCTTGTATTTCACCTTTATGGTTTTATATATATGTATTTTCATAAAATCAAAGAATTGTGGAGTTGGAAGGGACCCAAGGGCATCTAGTCCAACCCCCTGCAGTGAAGGAATCACAGCCAAAGAATCCAAGACAGATGGCCATCCAGCCTCTCCTTAAAAATCGCCAACGAAAGAAAGGCCACAAGCTCCCAAGGGAGTCTGTTCCACTGTTGAACGGCTCTTACTGCCAGAAAGTTCTTCCTGATGTTTAGTCAGAATCTCCTGTCTTGTAACTCGAAGCCATCAGTTTGAGTCCTGCCTTCTAGAGCAGGAGAATACAAACCTGCTCCATTCTCCATGTGACAGCCCTTGAGATATTTGAAGATGGCTCTCAGATCTCCTCCCAGTCTTATCTTCTCTAGGGTAAACAGACCCAGCTCTCTTGACCTTATAAGGCAGGGGTCAGCAAACTTTTTCAGCAGGGGGCCGGTCCACTGTCCCTCAGACCCAGAGATGCATTTTAAATAAAAGCACACATACTACTCATGCAAAAACATGCTGATTCCTGGATTGTCTGTGGGCCGGATTTAGAAGGCAATTGGGCCGGATCCGGCCCCTGGGCCATAGTTTGCCTACCCATGTTATAAGGCATGGTTTCTAGACTGTTTTGTAGTGTTCTCTTTTATGATTATGATTGTTAATTAAATTTGTATACCGCCCTTCATCCATAGATCTCAGAGTAGTTCACAACATAAAAATACAATATACCATTTAGATTGCAAACCCCTCTGAGATTTTATATGGCTATAATCCTGCTTTAACTGCTGTGCTGTTGCTTTAATGAGACCTTTAAGTGGTTAATTCTGGTTATCCCGTAAAATTGTTGTTTTCCACAGTTAGTTATGGTGTTGTGTAGGAATCATGACCTTCTAAATAATCTTCCAGAGGGATCTCACCCTGACACCTGCGCTAGCCTTTGAAGCTATCTCTGTTGACTTCCTGCCAAGTATTGGTTAGTCTTTCACTCGGGTGAGAAACTGATGTGTAAACCAAACACCAGGTGTGCACCCCCAAGGGTCTTTCATTTTGGAGGGAATGGATCAGCTGTGTTTCATGCAAAGGGCATGTAAGCCCAGAGAAGACCTCTGTCTGTTGGAAACTCGATGCCAGCTCTCAGCAAGGTGCTGCATTTAGACCAAAAATTCAGGTTCAGAGGGTACGTCCATTGTCAATTAAGGGGCTTTCAGGCAACTTAAAGGGATGTGAGAAAATGGCAGTGCTTTGCAGCTTTTGGGAGGGCTATTTAATAAAATCTTTAGCCATCACCCCATTTGTGTGTTAAACGTGTTCCAAATCCTCAAAGAACCATTGCCAATTTGGCAATACAGATGTTGTGTGCTTCACTTCCTGGAAGCATTTCCAAATGCATGGGCATCGAGAAGAAGAAGAAGAAGAGTTTGGATTTGATATCTCGCTTTATCACTACCCTAAGGAGTCTCAAAGCGGCTAACAATCTCCTTTCCCTTCCTCCCCCACAACAAACCCTCTGTGAGGTGAGTGGGGCTGAGAGACTTCAAAGAAGTGTGACTAGCCCAAGGTCACCCAGCAGCTGCATGTGGAGGAGCGGGGAATCGAATCCAGTTCACCAGATTACAAGTTCACTGCTCTTAACCACTACACCATGCTGGCTCTCCATCAAGCTGCACTGAGTAGCTTAAGATCTTGAAAAGAATACCGAGGCAGACCTAGGACCAGCTTGCAAGTGGAAGGTCATCATGACAATATGATAGCATTGGGGAAGCATTGCAGAATCGTGTGCCAATGCACTAAGGCACTACTGTTGTGTCAAGAGCAGAATACGCCCATAATAAAACACCAATCTGGAGACACCCAAAGAACGAATAATAGAATTGTAGAGTTGGAAGAGACCCTGGGAAACATACAGTTCAACCCCCTGCAATTCAGGAATATGCAGCTGTCCCATACAGGGATTGTACCTACAACCTTGGCATTATGAGTGCCAGGCTCTAGCCAACTGAGCTATCCGGTATAAAGGAGGAGTTAATTATTATTCCTTGTTAGCAACACTCCTTCAGCCCCTGCCATTGATAGTATCAGTTCCCCTCTCCCGCTTTAATTTGTGCTCACAGCTTGTAGCCTCTTGTTGAGATCCCAGGATGATCTGCAGAGAGAAGTGGGGCCAACAGTTCTCGACTGGCTCCGGATAATGAACAAATATGCAGAAGAGATTTAGCCAGAAGCGGGAGAAGAACTGACACAGCTACATCGGCTAGAGCCTGGGACTTGGTTCTAAGTCACTCTCTAAATATTGCAAATTGTGGAAAGCGACTGGTGCTATAGAAATCTGTTATTGAAGAACAGCCAGCCCCAGCCAGACAGGCCAATGGTCCAGGGAAGCCAAAACTTAGAAGAATTCAGAAGGAGATCATCAAGGTCCTGTCCCTCAAGAATTCTGTTTCATTCCTACACCCAACATAGCCTGTTTGGTGTCCAGAAAGGGCCCAAGTCCTAAATTTCCTTTTTAAATAATTTTTATTAGATTTTCTAATTTACATTTCAAAGAATTCATTTAAATGACCTTAAATCAATGACTTCCCTTCTTCTCTTTCCGTGGTTCATTTTGCATACCAATCATCCCTGCATATTTGACATGAACTAAACCATTCGGTAATCCATTGTTACATCCATCAAAACTTATTTACGCTGTTGAATTTATCTTAATACTACCAGCCTTTTAAAATAAACACAGTTTTCACCCATATATTCAGTAAACATTTTTCAGTCTTCTTTAAACATACGTTTGTCTTGTTCTCTTATTCTGTAAGTTAAATCTGTGAGCTATGTGTATTTCATCAGTTTAAGTTGCCATTCTTATTTATTTGGGACCTCACTTGTTTTCCATTTTTGGGCTAATGAAACACTGGCCGCAGTTGATACATAAATACATAAATAGTCTTTTTTGACACCTGGGAATTTCCCTCTGAATTATCCCCAACAAAAAGGACTCTGGTTTGTTTTTTTGGGAAAGGTACTTTTAAACACTTTTTTCAATTCATTATTGTCAGGGAACTGCCATCAGTGCCGGAGGGAGAGAGCAAAATCCAGAGGGATTCCGGAGAGCGTCCCGGGATTGGGAGAGGCAGCCCATCCTCTGGGGAAGAGAATCAGCGTAGCACCAGTGGAGAAGGGGGGCAGATGGGGGAAGCGGCGAGGCGGTCCCATGACTCCTTGCCGGGGACCAGCGGGGAGAGTAGAGGTCCTCCGCTGCCTATGCCCTCCTTGCGCAGAAGGCTTCCGCGCAGGGAGAGTAGGAGGAGACTAGGCGTCAAAGAGCTTCTTTGCTGGAAGAAGTTTAAGAAACGCCCACTGACGGATTCTGCCAGCGATTGAGACAGCCACGGGTGAGTGGCTGTCCGGACAGAAAAGGTTCACTCAGGCAATCCAGCCAGGTGTTTGCACCGGCTTACGCACGAGCAACCCCTAGAACCATTACAATTATATATATCATTTCCCAATACCCTTTTACAAGTCAACCACATATGATAACACGTGCCCTCAACCTCGTTACATCCCCAGCACTTTTCTGGTTCGGACTTATAAGTCCGAGTCCTACATTTCCCATGTGGTCATGTGGCTAATTCCATGTCCTCAGATCCATCATGCACCAATGACGTTTTTGCATGGGAGGGAAAAACCTGCAGAATGTTACTAGCACACCACCAGTTTAGGCAGAGCATAGCCATATGGCTAGTGGCCTTCGACAGCTCTTAGAATTTGTCTAATCAATTTCTAAAGCCATCCAAGTGAGTGGCCATCACTGCCTCCTGTGGGAAGTGTTGACATGCAGAGGGCCATGAGGCCAGCTGGCTAGCCCCCGCTGGGCCGTCTCCTTCCAGCCGTCCCACTACAAAGACCCATCGGCCTCTGCTCCAACTTTACTCAGCGACCCGGGCTTCAAAGCCAGGGCACACTATCAGCTGATCGAACTGTGCACACAGAATAGGCGTGAGGCTTGTGGAAGCATACGACAACTACGGATTTATTGATCATATATCAGGACAAAGAAACATGTCGTCTCTCTTAGTCTTCTCAGAGAGACTGGGAAAAGCAAAAGCTATACACAATGGAAGTTCCCAGCAAGCTGTGCTGGAATGTAAACAGACATGTAACATGTAATGGTTCCACATGTCTGCTCCTTAAGGTGGAATGGAAATTCATGGAGTTCCACAGTTTAACTACGTGTGAAGAAGGACTTTCTTTTATCTCTCCTGAATCTTCCAACATTCAGCTTCATTGAATGCTCATGAGCTCTAGAAATAGAGAAATACTTTCCCCTATTCACTTTCTCCATGCCACAGTTTTATAAACTTCTGTCATGTTGCTACTTACTGACTGTTTCTCTAAACTAAAAAAGTCCCAAGCTATGCAAGCTTTCCTCCTGGGGGATTCTCATCATCCCTCATTTTGGTTGCCCCTTTCTGGAACTTCTGCAACTCAACAATATCCTATTTGAGAATATTGAGACACTGGTCCTTCATCTACCTGGGCCAGAGCCATTGAGGGTTTTACAGGTAAGCATCACTGGTCTGAAATGGACCAGCAGCCATGGAGACTGTTCCCATTGGCCAGTCCTACTTAGTATCCAGATATCTGCATCCTGAACTTACAGAAGTTTCTGTGATGAAAGTAAAGGCGTCATCAAAAACCTTCTCCTGATATTTGCATTCAGTCAGATCATCTTTACAAATGTATGCAAAGCACAAAGCCATTCAGGTGTTCCCAGTTGCCAGGCTTCAAAGATGCACCTCAAAATCTCTCATTAGTACCATGCTATTTATTTATATGTCTATTTATTACTCTACTCTCGGCACAGCCTGCTTAACTGGCTTGCAGAGGAACCAAGGTCCACTCAAAACACATCAGGTCAGAGCTACTTTGCAGGTCTGGTTTATCAAAATGAACTTGCAAAGAGTTTCTAATTCCAGCCAGCTGCTCAGGTTCTGCAAATGGTATGCCCTGTAATAAGGACTGATCTGTCTTTTCAAAGTGTTGATGCACCTCTGGCAAGCTCCCTTTAATTGCCAGAAATGTTATTGCAGAAGGGGAAACTGATCAGAGAATAGAAGCAGCAACAGGAGGAAGAATACATCAGCCTCATCTCAAGGCTGGATTTGTGCTCAATAGGGGTAAAGGAAGAGGCAATGTGCAGGAAGGGATGGAGGGATGAAATCCATGATGGGGAATAAATTCAAGACCGATAAATGAGGGGAAGGATTCACACAACACATAATTGACTTATGGAACTCCTTGCCACAAGGTGTGGTGGTAACACTAGCTTATGTGACTTTTAAAGGGAATAATAATAATAATAATAATAATAATAATAATAATAATTTATTTATACCCCACCCATCTGGCTGGGTCTCCCCCCGCCACTCTGGGAGGCTTCCAACAAAATATTAAAATATAATAGTCTGTTGAACATTAAAAGCTTCCCTAAACAGGGCTGCCTTCAGATGTCTTCTAAAAGTCTGGGAGTTGTTTATCTCTTTGACATCTGGTGGGAGGGCGTTCCACAGGGCGGGTGCCACTACCGAGAAGGCCCTCTGCCTGGTTCTTGTAACTTGGCTTCTCGCAGCGAGGGAACTGCCAGAAGGCCCTCAGTGTCTGGGCAGAATGAGGGGGGTGGAGATGCTCCTGCAGGTATACTGGACCGAGGCCATTTAGGACTTTAAAGGTCAGCACCAAGACTTTGGATTGTGCTCAGAAACGTACTGGGAGCTAATGCAGGTCTTTCAAGACTGGTGTTATGTGGTCTCGGCAGCTGCTCCCAGTCACCAGTCTAGCTGCCGCATTCTGGATTAGTTGTAGTTTCTGGGTCACCTTCAAAGGCAGACCCACGTAGAGCACATTGCAGTAGTGCAAGCAGGAGATAACCAGAGCATGCACCACTCTGGTGAGACAGTCTGCGGGCAGGGAGGGTCTCATCCTGCGTACCAGATGGAGCTGGTAGACAGCTGCCCTGGACACAGAATTGACCTGCGCCTCCATGGACAGCTGTGAGTCCAGAATAACTCCCAGGCTGCACACCTGGTCCTTCAGGGGCACAGTGACCCCATTCAGGACCAGGGAGTCCTCCACACCCGCCCGCCTCCTGTCCCCCAAAACAGTACTTCTGTCTTGTTAGGATTCAACCCCTATCTGTTAGCCAGACAAATTCATGGAGGGTAAATCTTTTGATTGTTACTAGCCATGGTGGCTTCATGAAACCTCCATGGACTTACCCGCCTCTCCATGTTGCAGGATTTATGACAGATAAAATATGATAGAAGCTTATAAAGCAATGCATTGCACAGAGAAAGTGGACAGAGGAATTTTTATTTCTCTTTCTCATAACACTAGAATCCGTGGCTCTCTAATGAAGCTGAATGTTTAGGACGGATAAATGAGTGTTCTTTTCGCAGCATATAGTTAACCTATTGAATCCTTGCTGGCAATGTGATGATCACAAACCATGCTGTTTTCCCTCTCCCTCATTCAGATTCTGAAGGTTGTTTTCCTGCTTGTGTGCCTGTGCAAATCACCGCAAGCCCAAACCTTTACATCACAGCTGGCCTAACAAAAGCAACACATTGAACTGTGCAAAGATTTGGTGGCCATGTGACTCCTCCCGCGTTAGATGGGGAAAGGGCGCTTGCATTTCCCACGGCGCACCTGATGCAAAGCACAGAAATCTCTTCCTCCTTCTCAGCTGCTGCAGGGCTGGGATTTTGCTGGATGAAAACAAGTCCCTCGATCACAACTTCTCAGACTCAGAGAAGAAGGCAAGAGAACTGGAGGACTCTTCTCAAGTGTTTTCACAATCAGCTGTTCTTTGCTTTGCATGCCAACGAGGCAGAGAAGCACGTAAAGAGAGCTCAGTGACTTTGCAGAACTTGCCAGACAGGCAGTCTCGTTCTGCTACGTCCCAATATGGAAAAGAAACCTTCCTGCTCCATCTGTTGGTATTCATCTGCTTCTCTGGG